TCCTAGAGAAGACATGTGGTCTCAGCGGACAGCATACCCCATAAGGCATTTCAAAGACGACACACCAAACCCACGCCAGGTCACTGCGGTTGACTGGGGGACCACAGGTGAGCAGAGTCGACATGAGACTCCTACAAAACGGCACACCGGCTCACAGAGCCTTTGACAGGTATTCAGGTACCAAGAGAAGGCAGAACAATGGCCAGCCACTTCCAAGAGGCTTGTTCCCAAGTATGGATGCTGCCTTTGCCCTAAGGCAGTATCACTCATCCAGACATGCGGAGTCACTGTCTTTAAAAAGAAAAGAAAGGAAGGAAGAATCAGGTAGAGACCGCGTGAGTGGTGAGGGATAACGAACACCACGTCCACAGGGAGGGGCTGCTGGAACACTTACTGTAACAGTGACCATGAACGCCATCTAAAGCAGAAGAATCAGACAGACCCTGCATTGGTGTTCAACAGTGCAGTGAGGGTTTAGCAATTAAACTACGATTATCGCCTGGCATGGTGGTACGTGCCTGTAATCCCAGCACCAAGGGGTGGAGGCGGGAGGATTGGGAATTCAAGGTCATCCCGGCTACACAGTAGATAGAATTAAGTCTAGCCTGGGCTAGATGAACCTTTACAAAAGAAAACCACAACGAATGCCCAAGAATATCTTTGTCAAAAGAATTGTGAAATGTCAAAAAATAAGATTCTAATTCACAAAAATAAACACAGTCCTACTAAGAGCCCCAAAGAAGCATTCGGTTCACTTTGGAAGCCTAAGGTTAATACCCAGAAGCAATCAAGTTTGGGCCCTGAGTTATCTGCCCATCGGTCTCCCTTCAGTTCTGCAGAGCAGGTGAGCACAGGACGGAGACAGGGCAGTTTTCCTCAGTGTGACTGGCTGCAGACAGCCCTAAGGCTCGCCCGCCCCTCAACAGCCGGGACTGTTGTCTTAGCGTTGATTCTGCTACATACAGGATAGGAGGTGAGTGGCCACAGCGCCCAGGGAGGGCTCACAGCTAGTCCCGTCAGGGATGTAGCCTGTGAGGGCCCGGTGACCTGCCGCAGACTTGCTGGAAACTCTACGCAGACTCAAGAACAGAAACAAGGAAGGCTGATGTCACAGGGGAGAACCAGGACCGGTCACCGGCTCACGTGATGACCGACAAGGGCGGCTTTGCTAAGGTATTAGCGGTTAAATGTTACATCCTAGTGCACGACACTGACGGACGGACGGACGGACGGACAGATGGGCACGGTGATGGACTCCTGGGGAGAAATGTGGAAACGCAAATGGGGAGATGTTGGCAGAGGAGGACACCACCCTTAGGTACGCTGCAAACGCTTTCCGCCTTGACAGTAACCGAAATTCCTCATAATAAAACGTTGAGGCCAACACTGCTATTTCTACACAAAAATTAGTTTAGTCATACATTCGAAAGGTTGTAAAGACTCAGGGAATTTGAAGTTTTCGGTTAATCAAAGTAAGAAAACTGTTGCTTTCAAAGGCCTCAAGCTTGCTTGGGAAGGCCCCTCCACCCACCAGATGACCCCGAACTGCTGTCCCAGGCTGTCCTTCAATGCACTTTATGTGCAGATACATAATTCTCTCTGCCCTACAGAAGAGCCAAGCCAGGGCACCATCAGCATAGGAAGTTTTTCTAACCTCAGCATCTCACGCTGAATTCTCTGCATCATCAAACACAGCCCGCCCAGGACTACTGCCAGCCGGGGCGACCAGGACATAGCCCACCTCGGCGTCTACTGCCAGCTGCAGCAACCAGACGTAGCCCGCCCAGGCGACTACTGCCGGCTGCGGCAATCAGGACACAGCCCACCCAAGTGACTACGGCCAACCACGGTAACCAGGTTTCTAGAGAGTGCAGTTTTACCCAATAGCAAATTGAGATTGCACTAAGAAGGTCGGGGAAAGACAAAACAGAACTGACAAGGACCTTTACTATTTCAAGCTATTTTATGGACGGTGGCTCGCTGCATTAATTCTGTCACTTCCAGCCTCTGTGAAATGCTATCGCTTGCTAAAGGCACTCATATTTGGGGCTTAACGGACACAAGGTCACGTGGGACCACAAGCCGGGACGTTTTTGGTAGAGACAGAGAAAGGGAGTTCCATAAAGAATCTCTACAGATAATGGGAAGGGATACCACCACACACCGTTCATAGAAATGTCTCACGAGAAGCTAGTTCCACGGTTAGTGTCCATCCACTCACTCACCCACCACAAAAAGCAACGAAGCATTTTTACATCGTATTAAAAAAAAAAAAAAAAACTCCTAAGAGAGACTTAAAGTAGGAGGGCAAGGTAGAACGTTCCTAAAACACCTGTTCAAACAGCTACATTAAACTTCTGCATACACCAACAGAGTATGCCCCCCCCCCCCGCTCGAAAGACACTCCACTGCTTGGGCACACACCTCACAGCTAGTAAATACTTTCAGCGAAATTCTGACACTTAGCAGAGCCAACCTGCTGTTCCAGAAGCCCTCCAGAGAAAGCCGTGTGTAGCCGCTTCCTGTCTGTCCAGACTCATTTCCCATCACCATCCTTAGATGGCCATGGCCGAGTCCCAGGCGACACAGGATGGAAGAGCCTGCTGTCACAGGACGAAGATGCACCATCTCTTCTCCTCACTTAGACCGCAGGCTGCAGGCTACTCAAAGCTCTGCAGGGCAGCTTTGCGGGACGAGGGGGTCGATTCGCCTCAGATCACAGGAGGGGCCCACGTTCCCCCTCAGCACGGCCCGTCACTCATTGCCAGGGCTTCGAATCTCCTCGCTGACCTCCCAAGCTCACAGTGAACTAAAAGGTAAAGACTTGAGGAGAAAGTTCTCTTCAAGACAAACGGGGTGGAAAAAAAAAAAAAACACGCAAAATTCAGCTTGTGTGAGGCAGGCAGACAACACAACAGGCACGGGTTTGCAAGTAGCAGGACACAGACCGACCCAGACCAGCCAAGTCTTCTGCTCGGGGTGACGTCTAAAAGACCAAAGGGCACGGGCTGGAGCTGGACTTCAAAGCTGATGCCCTCCAAAGGCAGAGGGATCCAGATGGGAAGTGGGCCCTTCCTTTCGGCCTGGGATCTGGGTGTTCTGATGGCCCTCCTAACAAGACACAGTCACGAGAGAGGACAGCAATGCTGCATACGGATGGACCTGAAATCTACCTTGTTCTGGACTAAGGCTGCCTTTGTTTGGACGTCTGTCCGTCCATGACTGTGGCATATCATGAGACAGACGGTTCCTGGGGAAGGGGGGGGGGGTTGTCTCATATAACAGGACAAGGCCTCCCAAAATGAAACCAACAGAGAGCTCACTTAACTGACTCAGACGCCACCACAGCTTGGTCAGACAAGGGATAACTTCCACACCGAGTTCATTTCGCGGGACACTACCATGCAGCCTCGGCCCCACCTACTGCACAGTACAGCCTCAGCCCAGGGAACTTCCAAGGGTTCCGCAGGTCCACACGACCTCTGACAATGACCTTGGCAGTTACTTATCAGCTTCCAGAGTTTAGAAACAAGTTGAGTTTTTGTAGGCAACCTGGCACTGGAGTGTCATAGAACAAGTGCAAAGGAATATAGAAATAACTCTATAAATCTAACATTTCTCTCTAAAAGAAACCATACTTAGGCGTCCCTAACATCCATTAAGGGCACTGGGAGACTAGAAACCTGAATTCACGAGGCTTGATAACACATCAAGCCCTTAAGTCCACTGTTTTTTTTTTTTTTTTGTACTCATAGAGAGTGGGGGGACATACAGGAGGGGGGCATAGAGAGTGGGGGGACATACAGGAGGGGGGCATAGAGAGTGGGGGGACATACAGGAGGGGGGCATAGAGAGTGGGGGGACATACAGGAGGGGGGCATAGAGAGTGGGGGGACATACAGGAGGGGGGCATAGAGAGTGGGGGCACATACAGGAGGGGGGCATAGAGAGTGGGGGGACATACAGGAGGGGGGCATAGAGAGTGGGGGCACATACAGGAGGGGGGCATAGAGAGTGGGGGGACATACAGGAGGGGGGCATAGAGAGTGGGGGCACATATAGGAGAGGGGAATCACAGAAGAGTAGGGTACACACAGGAAAATGAGGGCTGTACAAGAGGATGGGGGTATATAGAAGAGTGGGGGAAGACACATCCTTTGACTTCATTCCCAAAGGAAAATTTCAGAGCAGATGAATGTCACTTTTATAAAATGGAAATCTATACCCAGAATCTTTCAACATTATTCTGAGATAAAGATGAGGTGAAATTCTCTCTGGGGTATCACATAAAACTAGGGGGCAGGAAGCATGTATCTTCAGACACCAACACAGAGATACACAGACACACACCCCTGCAGAGAGAGCAAATGAGATTGTTAAAACAATCACAGAACCGAATGGCCGGCACCATGCTTCAATCTACTGAAGAATTATACTTAGCAGCAAAATGAGGAATCAAATGGCTAACAAGACACGTGCTAAATGGCCCTAAACTGACCAGCTCTGTAGATGGCCCCAGAAGGGGGGGGGGGGGATTCTGGGACGAGGAGCTGCAAACGGAGATCAAAGCTCAAGGGAACACTGCTCTTTCTTCTGTTTTGAAGGGGGGAAATACTTTAACCAAATAGCTCTACTTTTCAGGAGACCATCATTTCAACAGGAGAAAGTAGCCAGGTACTGTTCTAGAAGCTAATCATAAAAGTAGCCTTTAATTGTGAGTCTCAACTGTTCTGAAGCCAAAGTGGAAAGGGGGAGTAGCGAGCGCTTCCTTCCTCTCCACTCGCTTGCCTGGAGGATTCTCAAGGTCCCACAGCGGTTTCCAGTGACGATATGATAATAAAATGTGCATCTGTCCTCGTGCAAAATACTGCTGGCTACAAACCTTCTGCAGAGCCACGCTCCCTACGAAAACAGGCACACCGCTCTTAGCACATGAAGAAAAGTAGAAAACAGAGGAAACACGGTGAACACAGGTTCACATAATACTCCGGCAGCCGATCTAGACATACACTATGGCTTTTTATTTAAAAAATAATAATCCCAGTAGAAGCATTAGACAGCACAGCCATCTGTGTTTTCAGTCTTCTCGAGGAGGTAAAGAAGAAAACACAGCGTCTGTGTGCTTCTCCACTGGAAAGGACACTGAAACTTGATCAGCTTAAAAAAAAAAAAATCCACGGAAGAAAGAGTGGTATTTCCCAGGAGGGCCCGTCACCTGCCAGGGCGGTGCCAGGACACAATCATCAAAAAAGCCACAGACAATGACGCGTTCACGCAATTATCAGTGAAAATATAATTCCCAAATTGAAATCGCAAACACATCCATGCATTTCCTTGAATCGTCTGAAAATATATTTTTTAAAAGAATAATCCATCTTCAACTCATTAGATAGTCAAATCTGAGTCCCAGACTGACAGTCCAACCAGGGCATGAGATGATCTCAGCAAACACACTGACCCAAGTAGGAGGGAGGAGGTGGGGATTAAATGTGTGCAATTCACAACTGGAGATAAAGTCACAGCTTCAAAAGAACCTAAGTATTCTGGAAGTGTCTGGATTCAAAAGAGCCTGCGTGTCAGTTACAGAGAGACACGCCCCAGGGGATGAACCGTTGCCAGAAGACCCAAGCACACACCATAACAGCACACGTACTGGCCCGGCACCACACTGGGGTGATGGCTCCCCAGGAACATCAGGAAATGGGAATCTGTTTATCTTTTTACTATAATCTGAAGGACAAACTGAAGTCAAGTTTTTTTTCACCTAATATGCATAAAACTAAAATTGCAAAAGTAGATGCCGTTTTTTAAATAGTCATAGCTCTAAGCAGTCAGGCTACTCCTGGTGAAACAGAACTTGGCCAAGATAAAAAGTTACTTCTGACGGGGCAGGCGGGTCACATACTGTAAGTCGCTTGACCGTATGTACGGTGTTTTCCAGGAGAGCCCATCATCTGCTCAAACCCCACCCCAAGTGGTACTCACGGTACCACTGCAGATACCCATCCTAAGCAGAGGAATGAGGAATGTATGGATCAAGGGGACCACAAAGCAAGGCAGGCTGACAGAAGGCAAACAACAGGCAGGACCAGTTTCTCCATGAGCGCGGGCGGCCAGCGCTACACGTAGCCCAGATTCTCCATCTCGCTCCGGTACCGCTGTTCAGACACTTTGCTCTTGTGCTGCTTGCTCTCCAGATGCTGCCGGAACTCGACTTCTTCACCAGCGCCGACATTACACATCGAACAGTAGAACTGGCCACTGGGAGTCACGCACATGGCGAGATCTCGCGGGATCCTCTGCCGCGAGCGGGCATTGAAGTAAGGACCTGCGGAAGTGAGATAATCAGGGGCTGGGAGACGGCTGAAGGATCTGAGTTCAGCTCTCCAGCACCCACAGAAAAGCCAGGCACTGTGCAGATTTGTTTACACCTACGAGGTACATGGGAGCATGCAGGATACCTGAATTGTTCTGGACTGTGTACATATTCCTCCTGGTGGTCACCATCTTAAATTCACTCCCTTCCTTCCGGGTCCGCCTTTGCCCTGCCTCTGCAGAGTCCCTGGAGAAAATAAATTTGAAACGAGTTAGACATCCAATCAGGGCTCCCTTTCATCTCCTCCTTTAGACACAGTTGCTCTCCCATAGCAATCTGGTCTCAGAGACGACAGCAATACCTACGAGAACGAGTTGCTCTGAGCTTCAGCCAGACGAAGTCTCTTGGCGTGGTTCTTCCCCTGGTAGTGGGCCTGTGCCACCGCAGGGGAGCTGAAGGAGGCATCGCACAGCTTACAGTAGTCGTTCTCTGTGGCCAGGATCACTCTTCCCCCTGGCTTGCCGGAGCCCACCTGCCAGTAAAGACACAGGACAGTTACACCTTCCCACTCCTCCCAGATCCTTCAGAACAGAGCCAAAGCCTAGGGCAGGGCCGTAGGCACTGAGTCTTGTAAGAAGAAAGCAATTCCAGGGGAGAGACTAAGAGACCCTTCATCCCATTTTGGGTTCCAAACTACCTATGAACCACCTAGGATGACGCTATCTCTACTGAAGAAATGTTTTCAAAGTGTGGACATTTAGGGCAGGAGGCGGTAAGTAAGGCTAAAATCTTCCCAGAGAGGGGGAAGCGGGCTCCAAATCCACCAGCAAACACTTACCGAGCACCAACTGTGTACTGAGCAGCCCGCCTAGACTAAAGCTGCCAAGTCTTGAAAGGTCCAGTCCTACAAACTCTCCACACCACTTGTGGGTAAATAACCAGGGGGGAAAGACTTAGTGAAGCCAGATAACAAGTAAAAGAAACCAAACGCCGTCAGGATTAAATTCCACTGGGCCAACAGAAATTATTACAAAGCAAATTTTGTCTAGAAATGATCATATGGTTAAGATTGTGGAAACCACACCTTTATCTAAAGCAGCACCGTGTGACCTGGAAGAGAAGACTCTGGGGGGGGGGGGTAACAGCACGACAGCTTCATATTTCACAGAGGTTCTTGCTAAACAAACAAGGTGGGCGGGGCTGTTTCCCAAGGAGGAAGGGTCCTGAATTCCTTGCTCCTGCTCTCTCTCCTGTTCCTGATTTGGACCTTGAGATTTCTGTCCGGTGCTCTAATGTGGGTCTCTGTCTCTGTCTCCTTTCATCGCCTGATGAAGGTTAATATTCAGGAGGATGCCTATATGTTTTTCTTTGGGTTCACCTTCTTATTTAGCTTCTCTAGGATCACTAATTATAGGCTCAATGTCCTTTATTTATGGCTAGAAACCAAATATGAACTCAAGAACAATGGCAATGGGTTTTTGATCCTACTGCACGAACTGGCTTTGTGGGAGCCTAGGCAGTTTGGATGCTCACCTTACTAGACCTGGATGGAGGTGGGTGGTCCTTGGACTTCCCACAGGACAGGGAACCCTGATTGCTCTTTGGGCTGATGAGGGAGGGGGACTTGATTGGGGGAGGGAGAGGGAAATGGGAGGCGGGGGTGGGGAAGAGACAGAAATCTTTAATAAATAAATAAATAAATAAATAAATAAATAAATAAGGGCACAGTCGTCTGACTCTAGAGCGCCTGTCCTGAAGGAACCCCTAATGTGAAAACCACTGGGCTGCAAGTGCCCCTGCTGCAATGAATATATCTTATCTTCTGTAAGTCTGGGGAGGGGGCCCAGCAGGGGCACCTACACACAGTGTCAGCAGAGAAACACTCAGGAAAGTAACATTATACCTTGGTAGTTGGGAACACTAAGATGACAAAAAATTTTGCTCTGCAACATTTTAAGCTATGCGACATCATGGAAAGTTACTCAGCTTTCCCGGGCTTTTAATAAAGCCCCATGAGGCCCATGCAGCTGGCCCATGGACCACGCTTTGAATAATAAGGCTAACTTCCAAGTAATGGCAAATACTAAATGAGGCCAGGGCCCAGCACTAGAACAAAACCAATTATAGACTTATCTAGTGTGCAGGATTTAAGCCAGCATCAAAAGCATTCAAGATAAGTAATATTTTAGTGGAATTTTTTAGACTTTATACCTATGAGATTGTTATCTACATGTATTCTGTGCATCCCATGTACCAGACTAGGAACTGGAGGGAGAGACAGTTGTGAGCCACCATGTGGGCGCTTAGAACAGAATCCAGATCCTCCGCGTGAGCCGTAAGAGTCCTTAACCACTGAGCCATCTCTTGAGCCCTTCAATTATTCCTCCAGGGCCAAGCCTAGCTATCACATGGTCATTTAACCTAGAATTCTGAAAGCTATATAAAAATAGACATAACTATTTTTCCATCTCTCACATCACGGTCAAGTCCAGTGAGACATCTCGAGGGTCAAGTGCTGGCAGGCACCGCTCAAGGGGTTAAGAGTACCAAGAACAGGGCTGGAGAGATGGCTCAGTGGTTAAGAGCACTGGCTGCTCTTCCAGAGGTCCTGAGTTCAATTCCCAGCAACCACATGGTAGCTCACCACCATCTATAATGAGATCTGGCGCCCTCTTCTGGCATGCGGGCATGCATGGAGGCAGAATGTTGTATACATAAAAAAATAAATACATACATAAATCTTAAAAAAAAAAAAAAAAAAAAAAAGAGTACCAAGAACCTTCCAGGGTGCTGTCGCCCAGACTGGCCCTGACAGAGTCACAGGACCAGCACTCATGACAACATGCATGTGACAGCCTCTTCACACTGCTCGTCTCACCTGTGGCGGGACAGGAAGGAGGGGTGTGGCTACAGGCTCTACCACGCTGCTCACCCTGGCTGGAGGAGGACAGCTGTTAGCTGCGTAATAATTTCGGAGTTTCTTGCCATGGTTTTTACCCTGGAGGGAAACACAAAAAGGACAGTTTATCAGGTAGCAATCGGTAGACGCGCACAGGTGTGCAGTCAACTGACCCTCTCCAGGACTGACGCCAGGGAGCCTGTCGTAGGCTGGAGTCTGCTCTGTGGTAAACGCCATGACCAAGAGCTTACACTTCCAGGTCAGTGCATCACGGAGTCAGAGCAGCAACTGAAGCAGAAACCATGGAGGAACACTTCTCCCTGGCTCATTCTCAGAGGCTCTCTTACATAGTCCAGACCCACCACCTCCTCCTCATCATCATCATCCTCATCCTCATCATCATCAATCAAGACAAGCTCTTACAGACAGGGCCACAGGCCAACCTGATGAAGCAACCCTTCAACTGAGATTCCCTCTTATTCCCTCTTCCCAGGGTAGCGTCAAGGTGTCAATAACAACTAAGCAGGCCAGAGTCTACTATTTGTTTCTAAGGGAACAGTTATATTTATCGGGAGAAGATAAACAACTGAAGCCAAAGAAACCAATTTCCTCTGAGTTTCTAGAGAAGCCTCGCTCTCCCGGGTGCCACACCCTCCCCAAGGCTCGTCACCATTCATTCACACATGGCCGCATCAGCAGGAATCTTGCGATGCTCTGATCTAAGAGACTTCAGAATCAAATCATGAGATAGCTAATCCAGTGATTTTTACAAAAATAGCGCCAATGGGGGGGGGGGTGACTTCATAGAGAGGGCTCTGATGAACCTCTCAGTTCATTCACCACTCACAGAGACCCCGTAGGACTCTGCGATCACCCGTACCTGGCAGTGGAGGAGCTGAGTGGGGGTGGGCACACACCTTCAGACAGAAGCACCAGCAGACCATGGCTTGAAACCGGCTCAGCACAGCCCTTACCACACATCATGGTGGCCTAGTCAGAATGGCCTTTCTCACCACGTTTTGGTTGTCGTTGTTAAAACTGACATGCGTATATTTCTTGAGCTGATAAGTAAACAGCAACTGGTGGCAAAGATGAAAAGCACTGTGGTGGGGCTTGGAAGGACGACCCAGAAATTCAAAGCTCGCCACTACTAGGGAGAACCTGGGCTCAGTTTCTAGCGCCCACATCAGGCAGCTCATAAGCACCTGTAATTTCAGTTCTATGAGACCAATGCCCTCTTCTGGCCTCTGTAGGCTCTACACACACACACACACACACACACACACACACACACACGATGCCCATACATTCATGCAGGCATGCACACACACATACATAAAAATAAATCTTTAAATGCACACTGAGTATGGGGAAACAGTTCTTTACTTGCTAAACCATGCTGTGAAACTTAAACCTGCATACCAACACTTACCATCAACAACCTGCTTACTCCCTGGAATGAACTCGGGACTAGCACACAGTATGAAGACAGCTCAGCTTCATCCCCTGCCATCCAATTTGTTCTAGCTATACCTTCCCCATGGGACAACCAGAGTTAAGGTTATGCTCCCCTCTCTGGCTGTACCTTCACGGAGCTCTAGGCGGTACACCACCACTGATCTCCCACCTCCCAGAAATGGTCCTTCTAGCAAGTTCTTTCCTTTGCAGCTCCCTCTTTCCTCTTCACACAGCTCCTCCTCTACCAGCCCTTGAGTTCTGCAGTGTCCAAGGCCCACCCTGGACTCTCCTCTGTGTCTGCACTCCAACTCTAGATCACTCTGCCCGGCCTTACAACTTTATGAGACAATGAACAAACGTGAAGGCGGGGGAGTGGGTTGTCCTTGCTGTTGTTTTGAGATAGTCTCTCACAGCACAGCAGCCCTGCAACGATGGCCTTGAGCGCATTCTCCTCCTGCCTCTACCACGTCCAGTTTCTGCAGTGATGAAGGTCAACCCGAGGCTTTGTGCACGCGTTCATCAACTGAGCTATACCACCCAGCCCTAAGACAATGACCCCAGATTGTGGCTGCATCCCTGGCCTTCACAGTCACATTCCCAAGTAACTTCCTGTGTCCTCGATTCCTTCCAAGAGGACATTTCACCACCGTCCAAGTCATCCACACATCCATAAACGCCACCACCCGCTCATTACTTCGGAAAGCTGCTGAGGCCCTTGTGCTTAAATCAATCACACTTCCAGAAACATCTAATATACTGGCGAGTCCTAGCAGCCTGCCTCCAAACCCGACTCCAGCCGTTCCACTTCTCTCAGCTACACCAACCATGTAGTGACACAAACTGCCGACACCTGGTACGTGCAGCCATAGCTCCTCCCGCTTGACTCTCAGTCTGGTCCCTCTGTAATTCTCATAAACCAGCGATGACTGAAGCCATGAATCAAACCACGCAGCCTCCCTCTCTCAACCCACCGTTGGCTGTATATGTGCTCTGCAGCGGAATGTTTGCCCAGCATGAGCAAGACCTAGGTTTGATTCCCCAGCACCACAAAGAAAATCTATAGAAGTCTCATAGATCAGTGTTTTAAGGTCCTACCTGCTCTGACCCCACCCACCTCCCATATTTGTGTCTCCCCAAGTACTCCTGCCCCTGCCTGCCATTCTCCTATCTTGTTGGCCTGCTTTCCTGAGCTGCTGGCTTCAGGGTCTTTGTCCTGCTGTGAATTCTGCCCAGGAATTGGCTCTTTTAGACTTCTGCAAGTCTGGATCATTCTCTTCGCGAAGTGTCAGCTTCCGGGACAACTCATGAAAGCCCCCGCGTGTTGCACCTGTATACATGTGTCAATCACATGACCACATCACCTGATGTCACTTTATCACAGTACCACAGCCCCAAATCTGATGATTTGTCTGTCTTTTTCCCCTCCTCTGAGAAGTAGACTCCCTAAAAAGAAGGACCTGCTTTCTGATCTACACTAGGTTACCCGTAAATACTGGTTGGAGAAAAGAATCAGGTATCGTGGTGGGAGTAATTTCAAAGAAGAAGAACAAAACTAGGAAACCACGGGGTGCCCTATTTCTGTCTGTGCCAAGGAGGCTTCTCAGAGAAGGTGACCACATCAGTTCTCAAACAAGTCCCAAGGCATTTTCACTACCATCAGGAACAAAACACCGATCTGTCCGCTCTCTCCACACCTGCTCAATACAGGGCTTGAAGTCTTCGCTAGAGCAACAGACAACTCAAGGAAAACACGAGGGTACAAATAGGAAAGGAACCTAAGACAAGCAAAGTCAGAACAAACTGATGTGGGAACTGGAAAAGACAGAGGTCAAAGATCAGTCTTGGGAAGGATCACTTCCATGGAGCAACATGGAAAGTCACGTGGGTTGGACTAAGGAAAGGATGGAAAGTGGACGGTGGAGGAAATGAGACGGGCTGTACAGAAGAGCTTCCAGAGAAGAGGAGGACACAGAGTTAGTCATGGGAAAACGGGGTCACTGGGACCCAATGGGGGCAGAGGAGGAAGACAGAGTTAGGGGGAAATGGGGTCACTGAAACATTTTTTGAAAGACATGATGGTAGATGGTCATGTGGTACACACAGCACTAAGATGGCAGTAGCAAGTGGATCTCTGTGAGTTCAAGGCCAGCCTAGTCTACAGAGTGAGTTCCAGGTCAGCAAGGGCTGTGGAGTGAGATCCCATCTCAAAACCCAAACAAACAAACAAACAAAAGAGACGTGGTAGTCCACAGCTGTAATTCCAGTTAGTTGGGAGGCTGAGGAAAGACAGAAAATCACACAAGATCAAGGTCTGCCTAGGTGACAGGAGTGTCCGAACTGGTGCAAGAATGGAGTCCTGCAAGGGGAATTCTGAGCGGTTGTGGGAACACTCCAAGAAAACAAGACAAGAGTCTTGAGACCTCAGTTTCTTCAAAACACCAAACTGCTCTTGGGATGTGTTTTCATGCTCCTCCCAGGTGTAGCAGATAGGCGTGAGTTTACTTTAGATGTTATTCATGTGCCTCTATGGAAAAACGTGGTTTTGCCACATTGGGCTTGAACTTGAGATTGTACACCTTACTCAGTGACTCTCCTTAACCCTCAGATAGAAACTGTATGGAGCTCTAATGAAATTTACTATTGCTGAGGCTTTCTTTAGTCTGCCTCATTTTTAGACCCTGCTCTTCCAGGTTCACGCCACCAACAAGAGCAGCAAACACAGGAGTATCTCAAAATTAAGAATTGAGAAGGGGTTAGGGACATAGCTCAGTGATGAGAGCACAGGCCTCGCAGGAACGAAGTCCTGGTGCCATCCCCAGCACCACCGCTTCCGGTCCACACTACCTGGCAAACCCCACTGTAATTGACAGCCACTGCTGAGGGAAATCATCCTAACTGAGCAAAAGTGTGATGATAAAAACACATGTGTGGTCTCAAAATCTCTCTCCATCTGATCCTTACTCAACAGATAAACAATGTTTTTTTTTTTTTTTTTCCAAGGAGATCCTTGTAGGCACCACCTTAATTGAGAGACAATTAACACCATGAGAACCTCTGGTGACTCATGCAGCAGGACAGTGTCTGTAGTACTATCACCCAAAACCACAAACCCTGAACCCAAGTAAATAAGGCAAACTCTGGACCACTACAAAACCTGTAAGGTTGTTAACGAAGACAAACACAAAGAGGAGATGGTGAAGTAATGGCCTGCCCAAACTAAAGAAGACATCAAAATTACATGTAAATTTCCATTTTGGATTGAGCACCAGAGGCAGGAAGAGCTATGTGTAGACAGCAGGTGAAATAGAAACAGTTGAGTGTGGAGTGCAGATGGTTTCCATCCATGTTCGCCCTTTGGTTCGCTTTGGTTGATTTGTTGTTGCTTCTGCAGGCTTAGGTAGCTCAGGCTGGCTTAAAACTCACGATGAAGTCAAGCAGAACACATGTCCACCCTGCCTCCAGCTCCCAACTGCTAGGCTTATCTACATAAAAAACTAACTAACAAAACAAGATCAGGCACAGGGAACTGTTTAGACTACCTAATACGTACTGACTTGAAGGTGCTGTGTCAAAAGCCACCCAGCCAGGCGTTGGTGGCGCACGCCATTAATCCCAGCTGTGTTTCTATCATGAGACAAAAT